GTGTATGTAGCCGGGCACATACAATACAAGCTTTGTCCATACTAGATTTTGACATTTCGGACGAGGCAAGAAAGATTCGGTGTACATCGTTAACCATTATTCTTGGGAGGTCTAGCAGCAAACTCGTACAAATAGCCATTCTGACCACTCAGCGCGAACGAAGTTGTGTGCTGCAGGTTGAAAAATACGGAAGTGCAAAAACGGAAGTCCATGGAGGCCAGCAGAATTTATCTCATAATTATGAGATAGTATCTCATAAGTCATAATACTAAGTCATAATAATGAGATACTAAGTCATAATAATGAGATAGCTAAGTCATAATTATGAGATACTAAGTCATAATTATGAGATACTAAGTCATAATTATGAGATACTATCTCATAATAATGAGATAGCTAAGTCATAATTATGAGATACTAAGTCATAATAATGAGATAGCTAAGTCATAATTATGAGATACTAAGTCATAATTATGAGATACTATCTCATAATAATGAGATAGTATCTCATAATAATGAGATGCTATCAAATTATTATGAGATACTAAGTCATAATAATGAGATACTATCTCATAATAATGAGATAGCTAAGTCATAATTATGAGATACTAAGTCATAATAATGAGATACTATCTCATAATAATGAGATAGCTAAGTCATAATTATGAGATAATATTTTTTTTTATTTTATCTGAGTGGCGGGAATGGGCTTCCATAAAAAATACCACACTAATTAAAAAAATTAAAGTGATGTGAAAAGTGTGAAGAATCAGTCATTCTTTGATGAAGATTATTGAAAATTATAGTTTAAATGATTGTTGACTGTGTCATGTTTAGTACAACGACGTTCAAAAAATATTGTAATAAACAGTAAATATTTATGAATCAGAAATATAGAAATTACGATAGTTTACCTAGAATTATATATTGTTTCATGAACAGTTTGAATAAAGATTTTTCCAAAACGGTAGCTCGACATTAGCGCCCCCTTCAGTTCCGGAAAGCAATGGCACCGTTTCCATATATGGTATTGTTGTGCCCAGTCCGCGCTCCGTGCTACAACTAAGCTAAGCTGTAGCCAACTGTAGTTGCCGAGACACGACCTAGAAGCTGTGCTGTTCTGAGATAACTCGGTGGACTTGGTGAGTTTTGGTAGTCAGTAGTCGGTAGTACAGTCAGTAACGTAGTTGGATCTGGAACATTTACCGTCTTTAGTGAGTGGAGCAGTTCACTTGGTGAGTGGACACCGTTTCTTTGTGAGGGAAAGCACGCTAGCGGCCTAATGGAGTTAGCATCATGCTATCGCTAAATCGCGAGTGGGGTTTTCCCTGTTTAAAATCAACAAACTATTTTATTACCGTTAAATAGTTTTAATAAAGAGATCCATAGAACAGGCGCACACGCGCACACACACAACGGCAGCTCCTTGCTGCAGACAGAAGTTTACTCAACAGCATTCAGCATGAAAATGAACCAAGTAGCAAGTATTAAATAGACAAAACAGGCTAAAAGAAATGCCAGCTGATGTTTCAGAGCATTCGTTAAGCAGATGTTTTTCAGGGATGCATATTTACATGTAAATAAAAATAAATACAACTTTAGAAAGACACATTCTACTGAGTAAATGTATAATATAATGACTTAGTAATCAATAATAATACTGAAAACACAATAGCATTCTGCTAAAACACACCTAAAGTTCATTTAGCTGGGATTCCTGTGTTTTCATGTACATTACACGTCGGTGGAGCTGCCTCTTGGCCAGGACTCCCTTGAAAGTAAGGTTTGTGATCTCAATGGGACCTTCCTGGTTAAATAAAGAATAAATAAATAAATAAACTCACTACTTCTTCATGTAAACTCTAAACGAAACCCTTTAGTGCTCTTGGCTCAGCTGGAGACGAGGAACCCTCAGGTTGTGTTGTTCTTTACCTTTTCAGCTTCCAGCCCTCTGCTGATATCACACCTTGCTTTCCTTGTTGGCTCCATGAGATGCTGCCATGCTGGATTTGGCTTTTAGTGAGCCACCAGACAGAACTAAACAGGAGAAACCGTTGTTAGTATTTTTGTAGAGCATCCATCTTCTATTTAGTCTGTAGCTGGAAGAACAGAAGAGAACTCTGTGAACTCTGGTGAGCAAAGGTCCTCTTTTCCAGACTGGATCTGTCCTCAGCTGATCAGAACCAAAGCGTTGGATCTTTAATCTCCTGCGTTGTTCTGAAGCAGCATCTTAATCAGCTCTCCTGCTTTGTTTCTATTGCAGCTGTTAGCTAAACACGGCTAAAGAAAACCTGCTACCACTTCAGGATCATCCATCAGCTGGGACTGATTCATCGTGTGTTCTTCACCACCTGGACCTGGACAGCATGGACACAGGTAGGGCTGCCACCTTTCAGATATGTAAATAAGTAAATGAGTTGGAGAAGTGGTTTTTCTCTTAGACAGCTGTGTTATTCACACAGGTGTGAAACATCTGTAAACGCCAGATCTGGTGCAGGAAAATGGCTGAACAGGGAGTGGGGACACACTTTGCCTTCTGCGGTTGTAAGTGATAATAATAATAATAATAATACATTAAACTTGTCTAGCACTTTTTAGGTCAGTCAGGCTTCACAAAAAATGCAATAAACACATAATAAAACAACATAGCCCTTTTCAGGCAGACATTCTGGAACATTTGTGGACAATTCAATCCGGTTTTTAACCGGAACTGTGTTTTCAGACACACCGCTTTTGTACCGGAACTTGTCCTTTCGGCTGCGTTCACACAGCAGGGAAAAGTTCCAGATGTCTGATGGCGGCGGGGTGGTGGTGGGGGGAGAGAGAATCGGACTCATGTTAAGAAGAAGAAAAAGAAAATATCATTTCTATAGCGCCTCTCAAGATAAAAATCACGAGGCGCTTAAGCATAATTCTGCGCACACGAAGACGCATAAGAGACCTGGATGATGAAGCTCAATGGTTAAAGGAATCACTGAAGCGGTGTGAAGCGCTCCGTCGCGCGTCTAAGCGGTACCGTAGGAGGCGAGCTGCCGTGGTTCGCCGCATGCTACAGCAGCGAGCTATCTAGGTGCGCACAGCGTCCCCCGGTCCCCTCCTCCTCCCCCTCCCCCTTGTCCGGAACTTTACCTCACCAGTCTGAAGCAGCCACCCTGTCCGTAACAAGTCCAGACCTGTTACTAGGGGCTTCGTCCGGATAAATTCCGGAACACGTTATCCGGATGTTTGTATTCAGACAGAAAGGTCTTACGGACAGAGTCCGGAACATTTCCGTTTTTCATGGCCTGTCTGAAGGGGGCTCATGAAACATAGTAAACAGACTGGGGGATGCTGGGTTGATCTTAAGAGAAGGCCAATTTAAAGAAGTGGGTTTTAAGCAGTGACTTAAAAGTAGAAAGAGAGACGGCGTTCCTGATGTTTAGTGGGAGAGAGTTCCAAAGTGTGGAGGCAGCGGCTGCAAAGGCTCGATCCCCCATGGTGCCATGTTTTGTTCTGAAAGGGGAAAGGAGGTTGGAGTCAGCAGAACGGAGGTGCCGGGAAGGAGAATGGCGATGGACTGATTGTCTTTTTGATTTAAAAGTTGTGAAACTATTCAGTATATCCGTGCTGCAATAAATGGTCTGCAGCGCTAAAGACAAAAACAAAATGCTTACTACAGCCTCCACATGTGACTCCAGAGAGCAGTCGCTAAAGCCGGGCAGACACTGTGCGACTTTTTCACTTTTTTGAGCCGATTTTCCAGTCGTGCGAGAATCCACGACATCGGTGCGAGTTTTGCGCCGAGCGGTCGTGTACAGGGGGTTACGAGAGGCGATTAACACCACTTGACCAGCTGCCGATCAGCAGTCGTGAGGTCACACGGACTTCTGGAGTGTTTAATATTTCGCTCGTCCCTCGTGAGGGTATCGCACTGTTGAAGCGGCGCTGCGAGCAGCTGCGACCCAAAAAGTATCAGAACCGCTCACGGCGCATGCGCAATCCTGCATCAACGCCGCTCGCCGCTATTTCCCTAATAACACACGCTGGTCGTTTTTCTTTCTACACGTTTTTTTACTCACAAAGATTGTCAAGAAAGTGTGTTTGTCGTGTTCATGTCAAATGAAACTGATCACAAAACACAGATTTACTTTATTTATTTCGTTTTCCTCATCCAACCCCCATAAATCGCTGTGTGTCCTCCTGCAGCACTCCCGAAGGACAACAGGCAAAACAAGACAAAAAAGTCTAACATGTTGAGTAAAAACTGCTATTTTTAACATATTTTTAGGGCCGACGTGTTGCTACCAGACGTACAGTGTGAGCACCTGGCTCGTGAGATCTGCCCTGCGAGGAAATCGTACAGTTTGAGCTGAAGCTGAACGCTGCGAGTGAAAAAGTCGCACCGTGTACGCCCGGCTTAAGTCAGCATGCAGCTCAGTGAATTTAATGTCCTAGTTGAGTGGGTGGTGGTCTTATGGAAACATGAGAGCAAGTCAAACTGCAGCTTTAAGAGCACTCTGAGCAACAGTTGTTTTTCTACACATCTGTTTTTGATTCACTGTTTAGCAGTTGTCTGACTTTTCTATATAGTTTCTAAAGTAAAGCTGTCGTTTACAACTTTTTCTTGTGTTTCTTGTTTTCTATTTTCATATTCAGGCCAGTTTACACACAGAACTCCAGTTATTGCTTGTTTTGTCCAATCTGGGCTGCAGCCGAATCACACTATGAGATTTTGATCTTTTTCTGCAGCGGTTTTAGCGCTTTTCGTTGCACCGCTGCTGGTACAGCGCCCTGTAGTGGCGCAACGCTGCAACTGCAGTTACAGTAACATCCATATAGCTGGGGGCAGAGTGAAATCAGGCTGGGGCGGCACAAAAATAGCTGGAGGCGGCCGCCACGCAAATTTGAATACAGGAAAACCCTGTATATGTGCCCCTTTTTTAACTTTGAGCACCCGCCCCTTCAAAGGTCTCTGCACGGCCCTGCTCTATCTGCTTCCTTTACAGCACCTGCTGAGCTCATTTAAAGGAGTCTCCTAGCGTCTTCACACGGATGACATCCAACTGTACATCTCCTTTAAGCCCCATGAGATGTCTACGCTGCAGCTGTTACTCTCCTGCTTAGACTCCATTAAAACCTGGATGGTGGGAGCTTTCTACAGCTGAATGAAGATAAGTCTTAGGCCCTGTCCACACGTAGCCGGGGATCTGCCAAAACGTAGATATTTTTCTACGTTTTGGCCTGTCATCCACACGAAAACGGAGTTTTTTAAAAACTCCGGCCAAAGTGAAGATCTGCGTTTTCTCCGTTTTGGGTGTCTGCATGTGGACGGACAAAACCGGAGTTTTAAGGTCCGCAACGTCACTTTCCGCGACAAAAAATTCTGACATCACGTGTGGGACCTGTGTTTACACTAGCCGGCATCATGGAAGCCCGCAGATCTGCGCTCTGTCACTACCCGATCCATCAATTGCCCAAGCGCTTTCTGCTTGTTTGTTTTTGCAAGCGGAATTACTGCTCCTTGTGGAAGACCACAGACGAAGGACGAGGTTAAGAACGGGGGAAGTACTGCCGCCTACAGGTCTGGCATGTCCTTAACAACGTATTTATCCGGGTACGTGTGGACAGTTTTTTTTTTTAAACGAGGTGGTGTGGATGCAAGTTTTTGGAGGGGCGGATATTCGTTTTTAAAAAACCCGGCTACGTGTGGACTAGGCCTAAGATCCTCATCTGTGCCCCAGAGAAGCTGGTTCCCAAAGTCAGAGACTCTCTTGGTCAGCTTGCTTCCCACACCAAACCCTCTGTCAGGAATCTTGGCGTGACCTTTGACCCAGCTCTCACCCTGGATTCTCATGTCAGTTCTCTTGTTGGCTCTTCCTTCTTCCATCTCAGGAACGTTGCTAAGCTGAGTCCCATTCTGTCCCGCTCTGAACTTGAGACAGTTCTCCACACCTTCATCTCCTCACGCTTAGACTACTGTAACTCTTTTCACGTGTCTGAGCAGAACCTCCCTGAACCGTCTACAGGTGGTTCAGAACGCCTGCGCTCGGCTTCTGACCAAGTCCTCCAAACACACCCACATCACCCCGATTCATGAAAAAAACACTAAAACTGAGTTATTTTCTAGAAAATACTTTTTTTTTTTTTTGCCTGGGGGTGTTTAGTACAAATCAGTCTTGATTATGTTTACTGGTCGATCTACGTCCCAATCCTCACCTATGGTCATGAGCTTTGGGTAATGACCGAAAGAACGAGATCGCGGATACAAGCGGCCGAAATGAGTTTCCTCCGTAGGGTGGCCGGGCTCAGCCTTAGAGATAGGGTGAGGAGCTCGGACATTCGGGAGGGACTCGGAGTAGAACCGCTGCTCCTCCGGATCGAAAGGAGCCAGTTGAGGTGGTTTGGGCATCTGGTCAGGATGCCTCCTGGACGCCTCCCCGGGGAGGTGTTTCGGGCATGTCCTGCCGGCAGAAGGCCCCCGGGTCGACCCAGGACACGTTGGAGAGGTTACATCTCCAATCTGGTCCGGGAACGCCTTGGGGTCCGGCCGGAGGAGCTGGTGGACAAGGCCTGGAGCTCCCTAGTTGGGATGCTGCCCCCGCGACCCGGACCCGGATAAGCGGAGGAAGACGACGACGACGACGAATATCTAAACTTTAGAATTTTTTGCATTTATAGTTTTTACATAGCAACACGTTTAAAATTTACTATACACTCGAGCCATTAGAGGACAAAAACGTCCCATTGACTTTAATGCAAACCACAGTTTTTGATTCCAGGATGGATTTCTGAAAGTGGGCAAGTCTGGTTTCCTACTAACGCAGAAACTTCCCACTATGTTCCTGCTGCAAGATGTTTGAATCCTGGGCCAACACATTACGCCATCACACGTATTTACGATGTGGTATCCTCCTTTGATTTATTCTTTACTCCAGAAATGACTGAAATCATCGTCAACATGACAAATCTAAATGGAAGACGTGTGGTGAAGAACTGGTGGGATATTGATGACATCGCAGTGAGAGCATACATTGGGCTCCTGATTTTGGCTGGTTTGTACCAGTCCAAAGGGGAATCCACCTGCAGCCTTTGGGATGACCACTGTGGACGTGCAATCTTCCTGGCCACCATGAGTCACCAAATTCAAGATGATCACCTCCACCCTCCGGTTTGATGAAGAGCTGAACAGGCCTTCCCGTCTCAGGCAGGACAAGCTGGCCCCTATCCGCTCGATTTGGGACATGTGGACCCATCGCCTCCAAATGCTTTTCAACACTGGGTTAGATGTGTGTGCTGATGAGCAGCTTGTCCCTTTCAGAGGCAGGTGCAAGTTTCGCCAACATATGCCAAGTAAACCAGCAAAGTACGGATTGAAACTCTGGGTCACTGCTGATGTTGCCACTTCCTATGCCTGCAAGTGTCAGGTCAACACAGGGAAAGCTGCTGGTGAGGCTGCAGAGGTCGGCCAGGGAAAACGTGTCATTTTGGAGATGACCGAAGAGCTCCAAGGAGTCACTTCACATGCATGCATTCACACTTCTGCCCTTTCATAACAAACTGAACTACAAAGAGTTTGGATGTGCCTGAGCTCCAGCCAGGTGCATAAACATATTGTTTTTGTTTTCTACCCTTTGATGTTCAGTAGGAGAGTGAAACTGTGTTTTGTTTACATGCTGAGCTTCTGACTTCAATAAAAACAGCAGAAGATCTATAGAAATGTGTAAACTTTCTCGCCTGGGCAACATATGAAGAAATGACTGAATTTGGTGGTGAACAGTAAAAATCATACATTTCACTACTTTTGTCCAAAATGAAATCATTACATCACAGAAAGCATGAATATTTGCTGCAGATAATGCAGGATCAAAAACTGTGGTTTGCATTGAAGTCAATGGGACGTTTTTGTCCATAACAGGCACAAGAGGGTGGTAAATTTTAAATCTGCTGCTACACAAAAACTAAAAAAGCATAAAATGTGATATTTTGCTAGACTCTTGACATATCCAAGACCATAGGCGTCATTTTGACCGGGGACGCCGGGGACATGTCCCCGGCAAAATTTGTGATTGGCAGCTGTGTCCCCCCCCCACTTTCAAAAAAGCCTGCTGATGAGGATTTTTGTTTTACCAGCTCAGATCTTATACCAGGGGTCGGCAACCTGTTCCCATCAAAGAGCCATTATTACCCATTTCCCACAGTAAAGAAAACACTGGGAGCCACAGCGGCCGCAGCGTTGTGGGCGGGGCCTACCCTCAGACAGCAGAGCGCTGCTCACAACATGACAGCAGCCGGTACCGGTCGCTCGCATGGGCGTTGCACCCGTGGGGGATTCAACACCCACACTTTTCCCGCTGTTTTGCTCACCTCCACACCAGTCTGGTCTCTTTACGTCGTACTCACTCTGTTTGCCTCATCTCCTTCTTCACCTCCCGCTTCTGACAGCCGATGTCGGGTTTCCAGGAGAGCAGGAGAGGGAGGGACGGAAGAGCTCGACTGAATTCATTATTTTACATCTTGACATTAGCTGTACAAAGTCTGAGTTTGATAAAGTGAAGAACAATAATTTGCAGAGGTTTATAATAGGCCCGGCGCCAGGTTTTCATTTTTGGGTGGGCCACGGTAATTCTGGACGGACCTTAATAAGCAGTGACTTAAGTGAAGCAGGCAGGTCGCGCTAGAAAATTTAGTTTAAAAAGACGTCATAAATGTTTTCCCCCGTCATTTTTATTTATAAAATATGAAGTAAAAACTCACAATTTAATTTTCATTGATTGTCATTAATATGTAGTCTACACCCGTGCGTTAAGTGGACCATCTTCCAGTAAAAACAAAGCTTCCAGCCCACCTCTCCAAATGCATAAAATGTGCGTCAGCCGCTAGTTAGGCGCGCCGCGTGCACCGTCAGCTACGTCAGCCCAGACAAGAGCAGAGCAAATAGAGACAGAATAGAGGATAATTGTGTCTGGATGTGGATGGAGATTACATTTTACAGCAGCCTGATCATCATTTAAATACGTAAACCATCACCTGTCTTCTAGTCCACGCTATCAGCATTATTTTAATTGGTGTGTGTGTGTGTGTGTGTGTGTGTGTGTGTGTGTGTTTTCCACTTCAAACACTGGTCTAACCAACCAGACCAGCATGTCCAGTAACACATTAATGTTAGAATTAAATAGTTTCACTTCATGTAGGCTAGGAACGTTCCACCTGCCGTGGCCCGACCGCTTCTGCTCCACATAAACTTTGTGCGTGATCAAATGTCTCTACGCGTCATGCGTCTCCATATTAGAGACGGGAACAAGCGCTGTTCAGCCAAAGTTTCATAATTTCATAAAAAGAACATTTTTCCAGGTGACACATCCCTCAGAGAGACCGGGTTTCCAGAACGCTTCAGTGGGAGGAAATCGTATCGCATGCACCGTGGTTCTGCACTGCGCTGCGGATCCCTCTACAGATCTTCAGCCCACTGTCCACCGTGGGCGCGCCGAGCCGCACTGAACACAGTGTCCAGTATAAAGCTCTGATGTTCTGATGGGAATCAAGTTACCTCTGCGATGTGCGTATTAAAATGTCAGCTCATCCATGCGCATCAGTGTGCGTCGGGGTAATTCTTTCAAAACAACCAACATCCTTGAGTTTATCCGTCAATATGTGACAAGCTGGAGAAACGAGGGCCCGGGCGGGATTCGATCCCCAGACTACCGGGTGAGAGTCATACGCTCTAACCAGTCAGCCAAAGGGACATCCCCATGGCCAAGTAGCCAGGGCGCATGATCTATCGGGACACTGTGACAGGACACTCACACTGCCACACCTGATTATGAAACTTTGGCTGAATAGCGCTTGTTCCTGTCTCCAATGTGGCGACGCATCCAGGAACCTGTCTGAGGAGAAGCCCAGAATCTGACATCCTTCAGCTCAGGAAGCGCCTATGATTACGCACAAGCGTGACGCGTCAACCCGGTCTCACAGTAAGACCGGGTTGGACCTGTTCAGGTTTACGCAGACAATCTTTACATTTAGAATTGGCATACAGATGTAAAATTAATGCAGTAAAATATAAAGCTTTTTATTTAAATATCCATTCATTATTTTACAAGCACAGAGAGCGCATCAGATGGATGAAGAGCCGCATGCGGCTACTTTATTGTCCCCAGCAATTTTTAAACCCCACTCAAGTGTATGGTTATTGTCCCCAGCAATTCTGAAAACAAACTGACGCCCTTGTCCAAGACTAATTCCATGCTGTCGTTCTTTTTAAAACACAGAAACGGTTTCGTTACCTGTTTTTTTTTAGAAAATAACTCGGTGCTGTTATTTTTCTTTTTTTTTCTTTCATAAATTAATTCAATGACTTTGAGTATTCAAACTGGCATTTCAGGGGTTAAAAGCTTCAAAATGATTGGATTTTTTTATGTTTGAGCAGGGCTGAAGTTGTTCAACAGATCTATGAAAAAAAAGTAAAAAAAAAAACATTAATGTATACATTTTTATAGCCACTTTTACAAGCGGCCGTTTGGTCCTCTAATGACTCTTGTATGAAAATTAAAGTGAAGCCTGAGGGTTAAGGCTCATATGATTTATAGAGGCTCAAAGTTCAGTTTCCAGTTGTAAATACATTTCATTCTACTGTCAGTTTAAAGAAATAATACAACTGTTATATGTGTGAAAACACAGTTACAGCTGTCTGTAATTCACATAATATGTTTCTGTGTTTCCTACAGATTTTCAACAGATGGTTCTGGTTAAAGAAGAAGCTTCAGAAGAACAGAGTGCTCGTGTCAACCACCAGCACCTAGATTTTCTCCACAAACAGGAGGAACTGGAGAAACTCTGGTCTAGTATGGAGGGAGAGCGTCTCCATTTGAATATGGAGACTGATGCTGCCAGGTTTCAATCCTTAAGCCAGAAAACACATTTAAACAAACACACGAGAGTCCAGACAAAGCAGAAACATTTTGCCTGTGAGCACTGTGGACAAAGGTTTCACCAAAAGACTAATTTAACCACACACATGAGCGTCCACACAGGAGAGAAGCCTTTTGTCTGTGAGCTCTGTGGAACGAGATTTAGCCGAAAGAAAAACTTAACCACACACATGAAAGTCCACACAGGAGATAAGCCCTTTCCTTGTGAGCTCTGTGGACAAAGATTTAGTCACAAGGGAAGTTTAAACACACACATGAGAGTCCACACAGGACAGAAGCCTTTTGCTTGTGAACTCTGTGGTAATAGATTTAGTGAAAAGGGAAGTTTAAACAAACACACGAGCGTCCACACAGGAGAGAAGCCCTTTCCTTGTGAGCTCTGTGGAACGAGATTTAGCCAAAAGACAGCTTTAAAAAGTCACATGAGAGTCCACACTGGAGAGAAGCCCTTTCCTTGTGAGCTTTGTGGACAAAGATTTAGTCACAAGGGAAGTTTAAACACACACATGAGAGTCCACACAGGACAGAAGCCTTTTGCTTGTGAGCTCTGTGGTAATAGATTTAGTGAAAAGGGAAGTTTAAACAAACACACGAGCGTCCACACAGGAGAGAAGCCCTTTCCTTGTGAGCTCTGTGGAACGAGATTTAGCCAAAAGACAGCTTTAAAAAGTCACATGAGAGTCCACACTGGAGAGAAGCCCTTTCCTTGTGAGCTCTGCGGAACGAGATTTAGCCAAAAGACAACATTAAACACACACATGAGAGTCCACACGGGAGAGAAGCCCTTTCCTTGTGAGCTCTGTGGACAAAGATTTAGTCGAATGGGAAGTTTAAACAAACACATGAGAGTCCACACAGGACAGAAGCCTTTTGCTTGTGAGCTCTGTGGTAATAGATTTAGTGAAAAGGGAAATTTAAACAAACACACGAGCGTCCACACAGGAGATAAGCCCTTTCCTTGTGAGCTCTGTGGAACGAGATTTAGCCAAAAGACAGCTTTAAACAGTCACATGAGAGTCCACACAGGAGATAAGCCCTTTCCTTGTGAGCTCTGTGGAACTAGATTTAGCCAAAAGAACCATTTAAACACACACATGAGAGTCCACACTGGAGAGAAGCCTTTCGCCTGTGAGCTCTGTGGTAATAGATTTAGTCAAAAGGGAAGTTTAAACACACACATGAGAGTCCACACAGGACAGAAGCCTTTCGCCTGTGAGCTCTGTGGTAATAGATTTAGTCAAAAGGGAAGTTTAAACACACACATGAAAGTCCACACAGGAGATAAGCCCTTTCCTTGTGAGCTCTGTGGAACGAGATTTAGCCTAAAAACAAAATTAAACCGTCACATGAGAGTCCACACTGGAGAGAAGCCTTTCGCCTGTGAGCTCTGTGGTAATAGATTTAGTGAAAAGGAACGTTTAAACACACACATGAGAGTCCACACTGGAGAGAAGCCTTTCGCCTGTGAGCTCTGTGGTAATAGATTTACTGAAAAGGGAAGTTTAAACACACACATGAGAGTCCACATTGGAGAGAAGCCTTTCGCCTGTGAGCTCTGTGGTAATAGATTTAGTCAAAAGGGAAGTTTAAACACACACATGAGAGTCCACACTGGAGAGAAGCCTTTCGCCTGTGAGCTCTGTGGTAATAGATTTAGTGAAAAGGGAAGTTTAATCAAACACATGACAGTCCACACAGGAGAGAAGCCTTTTGCTTGTGAGCTCTGTGTAAAAAGATTTAGCCGAAAGACACATTTAAACAGTCACATGAGAGTCCACACTGGCTTTTCGCCTGTGAGTTCGGTGGAAAAGATTTACCCAAAAGATCAGTTTAAACGGTCACAAAAGAGTCCATAAAGGACAGAAGCCTTTTGCTTGTGAGCTCTGTGGACGAAGATTTCGCTGAAAGAAATCTTTAAACAATCATCTAAGCATCCACTAGGGCTGAATGATCTATTGCAGGGGTCTCCAACATTTTGTGGCCCGTGAGCTACTTTTACACAATGAAAGTACAGCAGAGTTACTGTCATATGATTTATTTACATTGATACTTTCCATGTGTGAATGTGCTTATGTTAAACATGCTATACTTACTATATTAACATGCATTGTACTCACAAGTTGATTTCTCTGTATTTCAGTGCATCAGTATATATATTTTAAAAGTATAAGTAAACTAGTGACATTCTGAAAACCAAATTAAACAAAACATATTTAGTTTTTTAAACTAATCAGATACTTTCAGATAATGAATAACAAATCTACTTCATGTGAATGATTTGGTAATTTTTTAGAAGGTTAGTAACATAATTTTTTCAGCGCACAGGAACAGCTAACCTGTAAAGCTGATGATATGTTAAATAAATACAAGCTAAATGTGATGAAAACACAAAAGTCTAAATAGTTTGAATTGAAGTAAAAAATGTAAAATCAGAAATAAGACTTGTTCCTGCTCTCCTGATGTACTGAATCATTTTTATGGGGGTTTTTTTTTTGGTCATGAAAGTTAAGTTTTGCTGCGTTTATTGCTGACAATATGAAGGTTGGAGGTTTATCCATTTTTCTGCATCTTGTAAGTTTTTTTCTCCGCACGTCTCTAAATAAAGTAAAATTTTCTAGTGCAGAGTGGAGACAACCCATAGAAGCACTGATTTGATCTCATTTCAGAGAAAAATAGAACAGGTTAGATCAAGGGCGGGCAATCCTGGTCCTCGAGGGCCACTATCCCACATGTTTTACTGTTTTCCCTGTTTCAACACACCTGATTTCAATCAGCAGGAGATTAGCTGGCTTCTGCAGCTTGATGAGCTGCTGAATCAACTGTGTTGGAACTGGGAAATAACAAAAATATGGAGGATACTGGCCCTCGAGGACTGGAGTTGCCCACCCCTGGGTTAGATATACCTAATAAATAAAATTATAACAAACTCAGGAATCTGTTTCTTTGCTTCACTGTTCTGGTGCTGAGAATATCACTAATGCGGATCAAAGGAGATACACAGATGAATGCACCTCTTATTTATTATTTGGAGACTACATTTACTGCAGCTGGCAGAGGCAGAGATTTTTTCTATTGATACACGGAATTTACAGAATCATTTTAAATGTTAATAGGGGAAGACTGCAGGAGGGAGCGGTAAAATACAGGGGGTCCCCAGAAAAAACAAACTTTACGAGCCTGATGAAACCCGCTGGTTTTCCATCAGGCAGTCACGGGGCAGCTCCAACGACCCAGTGGCTGTGCTGGGTCACTGTTATCGAGCTCAGTCGAGGAGACGTCGTGCTCTGCTTAAGAAGAGGTGTTATTTTCCTGCTTCAGAAGAAGCGTTCAACGTGTTTTTACGCTTTCTCCGAGACATGTCATGTCGCTAAGTTGTTAGCGCCGCGCGATAACACGTCAATAGTGCAGCGTAGCCTGCTGGAGGTTTTAATGGTTCAGATGAAACACCCGACCTCTCAGGCTGCTCACACATCGATCTTAAGTTGTCGCTGTTGCGCTCACCCCGTAATACAGTATTAGATGCGGTTAAAGTCAGACATGAAAAAATAAAATAAATTTTACATGAATAAGTGATGCTTATCCTGGTGGGGCGAGGAAACCCTGTCAAGATCGTCAACGCTCGTTTATCTTAATGCTATTGAAACATGTAAACCAAAAAGCATTATATCCACTGCTACCTTTATGCTGTAACTTCACCCTGCCCTGCCTGCTCCTCCTTGCTGCCTGCCGGCTGTGATCACAAGCGACAACATAGTAGTTCCTGCTGCTTCCTCGTGAAACGCCTATGTAAGGGAAACCCCGGTGTAGTTATTGTGTAAAGCAGTATATACTATGAATGATTAATAAAAATAAAAACTAGAATTGAACCTGAGTTACATAGTAATAACAATTTAAGAACTCAGAAACAATAATACACTAACTTACTAAGTAGGGCTGCAACAAACGATTATTTGGATAATCGATTAATCGGATGGGGTCTCGACACGATTAATCGATTAATCGGATTACATTGGGAAATTTTTAAAAACTGCTAGGGAAACGTTATTTCTCTCCTTCCTTCACTTTATTTAACACAACATTATTAGAAAACAGTTCAATAGCAGAAAAACAACATGCCATCACCTAAATTGTCTTATAAGGTGTATAGACAGAGACCCTAAGCTACATCTATCTGTGACCTAAAATGCTTGGTCCAAGTTAAACAGCTTAAGGGCAATTCTCATCTGTTTTGTTTGATCTCATCTGTTAACATTTATTTTAAATGTAATTAAACACAGGCTGTGAATTAATCAAAATTGATCACTATTTCCAAAAATGACTGAAAAAATACCAAATAAAACAAAAGTAAATGAATGCCATCCTCATTGCGATGATGCCCTGGGCAACTGCCATAAAGTCACATCAAGAAATGCTGCTGATCATTCCAATGATCCCAAATAGACTCACATTAGGCCACATGAAAGCAACTGAACCCAAAAATATATTAACCAGTATATAACTGCACTCTCACACAACACGCCTGCAGCAACAGTTAGGACTCCTCCCTCCCTTTTAAAAGTGTTTTTGCTTCCGAGGACATTGTGGTTGTAAAACCACATGCTAGTAGTCTGGCCCCGGTGTGATCAACCAGTTTCTGCGGGAATGTGACGGCGGAACCAGGGCCAGATTAACACTTTGTTGTACCCTGGGCAACAATATTCAAGGGCTCCATCATCACGACCCGAGGATCACCATAATATGGTCACATACAGAATATTTTACTGTAATATGCAGTAAATATACTCAATACTTGAATGCCTGACAACACGTAACCCGCCCAGAGTAACCTTTGACCCACCTCGTGTGGACTGACCAATGAGGAGAGGGTCTTAACTTGAGGCCCTCTCTTCATTGGTCAGTCTGCATGAGACTGACTCTCAACTGACGTTCAAAGTCATAGGCAGCGAAGCGTCTCTGTGCAGCGCAAAAGCCCGGGTGGACAGTTTGTTTAATGTAGGGTGATCATATTTCCATTTCCAAACAAGAGGACAGGGGATCTGTGCCTAAGACGTCACACCATGGCAACGCCACACAAACCATGTTGGGACCCATTTTTTGTAAGAACTAAATTAATATCAGATTCTGCCAATAAAAGGGCTCTAAAACAATTCATATGTAAATATTTTGCAAATTTAATGCAAAATCTCATTTTTATGCTTTAGTACTGCAACAAGGTTTTATTAATAATAAATTATTATACCTTTTGTTTTACTACAGCATCGGTAAGCTTCCTGTGCACAGATTATTAAGGATGCTTGTTTCAGCTGTGAGATTAGACGATAGGATCAATGAAAAAATAAGTTGTCACACACTCCATGGAAACTTTCAGAGAATCCACAAATAGCGGCTTTCAAATGGTTTTGTTACTTTTTGCAAGTTTAGAAAAGCAGCAGATGAGACAGCATGTCTGATAATTTAGTTTTTCATCTGATAATATTAGAACATGTCAGTAATGTCTGAGGGGCTTTTATAAACACTGTATAACTAATACTCCTGGAGAGGGTATGAATTACACAGAGGCTTCTGGGGAGCCCAGTTATGGGGGGGGGGGGGGCATTTTGCCTTGGCCCCCAAAATGTCTTGAAACGGCCCTGGGTGTGTGACTGAGTTTTGAAGGTGATCTGAATTGTATCAGATGTATAAATATGACATGTGTGTAACTTATTGTTTTTTACTGGTAAAAACGTGTAGTGGAGATAAATCTACCTACATTTTACTTTTCAACACTTTGTTTTGTTTTCTTGTTTTTATTTAACTATTTTCCTGTCCTGTCTGTCTCTCATCTTCCTGCATCTCCTCTTAATTCTCCAGAAAATCTGTTGCCTGGATTCTTACCTTTTCACCTCATCAGTTACTTTTGAGCAGATCATCTCCTGACCGCAAAGCGCAGAGTGCGTTTCGATGCTGCGTGAGGTGACATCACCACAGCACAGGTGATGAGCTCCGCAGTAGCGCGCTTCAGGCACAAATAAGACAGAAAATAGAGAACATGTGCAGACAAGAACGATCGTGTGCTAATTATAGTTTTTTGGTTGCGCCACTTTGAGAATGGACCGTGCGCTGGAAGCAGCTGCCTGGATCGCTGCGCAGCAATGCTGAACTGGTTCGCAGCAGCACAAAGTCTGCAGGCTCTCCCTCGCGCTGATCTGCCGGTACCGGCTCTCCCTCGCGCTGATCTGCCGGTACCGGCTCTCCCTTGCGCTGATCTGCCGGTACCGGCTCTCCCTCGCGCTAATCTGCCGGTACCGGCTCTCCCTCGCGCTGATCTGCCGGCTCTCCCTCGCGCTGATCTGCGGCTCTCCCTCGCGCTGATCTGACTTGCTCTGGTCTGCGCGCAACGGAGGGCGGGAGGGGGGGGGGGGGTGGGGGGGGCGCTTTTGGAAGAGTTGTGCGACACAACGAATCGATGACGCAATTCGTTGCCAACGCTTTTAGTAATCGATTTTCATCGAATTTATCGATTCGTTGTTGCAGCCCTATTACTAAGTAATTACCATGTAAGTACTAAGTAATTAGAGGACTGTAAAAGAAAGTGCTACCAATAATTGTACTTAATATGCTTTTATGTTTGTGTGCTATGTTCTGTGTCAATATTCTTTGATTTTATTTTACACAACATGATGTGACATTTTAACTATTTCATTTCACTTGTGATTGTTTAACTATGTGAAGCACGTTGGGCTACCGTTTTGTGTATGAAATGGGCTATATAATAAACTTGACTTGAGAGAGAGTTCACAATCATGTTTTGTTACTAAATGAGACACTCAGCTGAAACTGGGGGAAATATATGATGAATCTAAATCACAGGAGATGTCCAGAGTTTTTAAAGCCTGTGTTCATCATGTTGTGGGGACCACAAAGAGGCTACACTCGCACCCAGTTCTTGGTACCACAGACGTATATATTGACTTGGGACTGTTTGTATGTAAATATTGTTGACTGCTTGGCCGCTTGATCAGAACCAGAAACGTATGTGTAACAGACCATCTGGGTGTTCAAGGGGCCGTATGTGGAGGGCCACACAGAGGCTACGCTCACACCCAGTTCTTTGGACTGTTTGTATGTAGATGTAGCAGGACTGGTTGGTGTCTCAACCAGTTGATCGCCCAGCCTATCACACATATTAGTCAAACCAGCACAAAATTTAATTTAAGACATTTAACTGCATGTGTGCGCGTGTGTGTTTGCACTGAATGTGTTTGTGCACATGGTTCACATGTGTGTAGGGTTAATCTACATACTAGAACTAACGCTGTTGCTATCAGCTTTGTTAGATTCTGAGAAAGACAACCAAGTTAACATATGAAGCTTCTATCATATATAAACATCTAGGATATTAATATAATCGATAGAAGTTCATACACCAACGAGCTTGGTTTATATTTAATTTACGGATTAATATTTAATTTAAGATATTTAAATTAATAGCAAAAGTTTATTTATTAAACAGAAGACTTAATAAGGTTCTTTGCTGATTCAATAACTGAAAATGCACACCATTCTGTGTTTCATTCAAAGAAGAGTCAGGTTTAAAAATTTAAGAATTTATTACTAACAATTTCAAATCTGACAACTTAAAATAGACAATTTATGAATAACAATTTATAAATGACAAATTTGAACAACAATTTTGATATTAAAACTTGTTATTAAAGCAACCCCTGTGTCTGGATGGAAAACTAAGTGGAATGATGAGGTTTGGATGCGTGAATGAAATCTCAGAAGCTTTCTTTCAGAGGGAGAACGCGTTCTGGGTGAAACGTTGGTTTTGCAGCTAACTGCAATCTGTGTTCTACCTCACCGTTCAGACGACCCTCTGTGTGGATCTGGAGGTCTGGAGGATGTTGTCAGCCTCGGGGGTACTCAGGTCCGGCAGATGACCAAGGGTACCGACTTTCTCTGGTCCTAGAGTTGCCGTGAGGTGCACAGGTAGATGTGGCTTTGCATCCGGGCAGATTCTCAAGGAATCTCGTAGTGTCAGCTGGTTATAGGTGCGTTTATTCAGAGCTATTCTATCGGCGTGACAGAACGCTTAGTGAGGAGTCAGGCGGCCGACCTTCTCCTCTGGGATACTCTCGTTGCCACGAAGAAGTATCAGCTTGGTTCAAGAACTGAACTTAAGCTGTGGAGCTTTGGTTTTAACAAAACCTCAGAACACGCCCTCTCAGAGACAGGAAGCATGACTATGGAAGACATGTGAGGCAGTTACCTTGAAGTGAGTCCTGCATGAGGTGTAAACACGTGCAAAAGACCTTCTGGTTACTGAACACACATTACTGATTATCATAAATAATAATTATTATTAACCAAAGAATAATAAGTAATTTCATTAGTTAAAAATACATTTATAATGAACCATGATGATCATTTATGATGATTATAGTTAACCTTATAATTAAAGAGTTTATTAAATTATTTGATTAGAGTTGAAGGTCCTTCATCTCGTGATGGAACAGCAAGCGGATAAACAGTCAGATTGAAGACGGTGTTATTGTAGACTATTCGGCTCCTGGTGGTTTAATCTGTGGATGGAAGTTACAGCTCGACCCAGCTGGAAAGAGTGAACTTTGCCCCACAAAATGAGGCCATTCATGATGCTACACGTGCGACCATCAAGAACAAAGTAGAAATTCAGCGAAAGAAAGCAAATTGACTACATATTAATTTGGTGCAAGTGTGAACCTAGAGCCCCACGACTGTTATTATTTTCGGTACGGAGAGTGATCACGCTTGTTACAAGCCATCTTCCCAAGCTAGCTGACTCTTTAATAAACACTACGTCTCAGGGTTGACTTGTAATTCTATTTATGTGTGAGCGTGATTATCCAGTCGATCTGCACACTAATATGAGCTAATCAGCGATCATCGTTAACCTAGATTTAGATCCTGGCAAACACATTTCTAGCAGCTCAAAGGAAGACTCCGTTTAAACTCAAACACACCTCAGTCACCTGCAGCTTATACTATGCCCAGGTTAAAGACTCTAAGCTAAGTGTTATGAACCTTCTTGGAGTGGGATTAAAAGTAACCAGCACCTCACCTTTCTGCTGTTACACGACACCATTGGAGACCCCAGACAGGAAATCCGTTTTAAAGCTCCTTTTATGAAGGAACAAAAGTTTTATTTTATATGAAGAAGTAAAAAATATTCAAACTTTCCCGACACAGCGGGTCAAAACAGCGAACCAGTACAGTTGTCACTCCGAACCCCTCCTCTGCATCCAAAACCAACAACCAGCCTCTCCACCAACAGAGCCCCCACTCTTTTATTCCCCCCCAACACTCTCCTTCTGGCCCCCCTTTCGTCTCCATCGCAACCCCTGCCTTGGAAGCATTCTTCGGCCTTGAGACTCCTCCCCAGCATCCTTTGGTCTTCAGCCAGATGGGGGATGTTCTTCTCTTCTGCTCTCTCTTCAGCACAGATCAAAGGAAGTCCACCATAAATAATTTCCAGACATGGATGTCTCTAAATATTTACCGCATGCTGGGCTAATCCCACAGAGGTCACTAAAGGCTGAGATCACAACATCAGATTAGTGTAGCACACTCATTATTTATGACATCAGGAGATCAGGAGTCAAATCACGCATACACATTTTACACACAGACCTTTTTCTGAACTCTAGAGCCTGGTTTCATTAACACACAGATTGAGATGTAATTCAGAACTGCTATTATATAATAAGACAGGTCTGGAGGAATCGAAAATCTTTGCTTAACATTAAGATTGAAAAAATAATTCCGTACAAGTACTTATGTACAGAATGTTTCTGGTTAATCCTAAAGCTACTGAGGTTCAGAATCGGTACCCAGCCACAGACACACACCCAGCTAGTAATATATCACACACACCTAGTGCCACAAAACAACTTAATAATGTACAAAATAATCTAATAACTTTGTATAGTAGTGTGCATCCTACTTACTGGTGTTAGTCCGTTTCTCCCAATCAATATGTATGTCCTAAAAGCTCTGCACCGCTCCCTCGGCCATGAAGGAAACGTGGGTGCTTGCAGCTTGTTGTGACCGGCTGTGCGCTCTGGCGTCAGGAAAGGAAGGTGGTCACGTGACTCACGCTAGCTATATAACTTTATTAAACAGAAATTTTATTAATTATTATTTTTGTTATTGTTGAGGGGGCACAAACAGAAAATTCTTTTAAAAAAATACAAATAAATAAAAAAATAATATATAAAAAAATCATTAAACCTCAAAAAGGGCACTTTGGGCACATGGGACAAAAGGGGCAGGGTCTCAAGCACCCTCCGCTCCCCCCTCTGCACGTGCCTGTTGTACAGAGATGTAGTGGAATATAGTTGTATATTCTTACACTTTTATTAGGTCCAGATATTATAATCAGAAGAGGTTGTTTTTACTTCAGGGAGTTCTATTTAAACACTTTGGATTGACTTAGAGACAAGAAAAGAGAGAGTTGGGATCGTTTAAGAATCTTTAATTTCTATGATTATAAATTCAAACAATCTACCAGGACTAACTCTCTATGATGGATGCATATGGATTTGAATGTTGAAATGTTGGTGTGTGTGTTCAGAATCTCCAGGCTGAGGCAGGCGGATCTGGGTGTCAGATGTTTTGACTAGGAACCACGAGGGCTTCAGAAGCTCATGACATGAAACGCCATCTTGCCGAGTCTACGTACCGTGTAGGAACTCCCGTGGTCAGATCGGGAATGTCAGGTCTCCGGACCTCCTTGGTACTGGACTGATGAAACAGTGTTGCAGCACGACAAAAACCTGTCTATGGATAGCTCCTAGTAGTAGTGGCAGGTCTCAGCGCGTTCAGCTTTTATTTTGAAGGAACCGTCGTCTTGTTGTTCAAACGACAGAATTTTCCAGCTTGACAGTTCTCAGCTTAAAGTAGAAAAACACAGCTGGCCAGTCTGTAATCTCCTTTAGCGATGATGATTTGAGAGCTGGTTGAAACTACGTTGAGTCTACGATGTAACTCAGATGAGACTGAGGTGGAACTGAAGTTAAAATGGCGTTGCTCTGTTTTATTAACTTAGTTGTTTATAAATCTTAGCAGATCGGAGTGGACAAATTGATAAACAGCCCAGATTCTGCCCTGCAACAGACGGAAGCTCTGATTGGATGAGAACATTGTGTCATGCGTTCTTACGTTCTGTGGATCAGTATGTCTGGTGCACAGTCCTGTTTATTCATTAAACACATAAATCATGACATTTTGATTTCACATATCAGTCACCTGATTATTATTGTTCAACATTTGTTTTGATTAGCTTTATTACCAATAAAGTTCTTTGATTAATTAATGAAAAGCGTTCTTCTTCCTTCTTGTGTCTCCTTTCCTGGAATGTAAACATTTAGAAACAAGCACCCAACCTTGTTCATTCATGCACACTGTTACTGTGTGAAGGGGCAGCTGTTAAGGGCAGACAATAGCATCTTCATATCGCTACAGAGATCCCAGGCAAAAGGTTTTTCTCCTGTGTGGACTTTCATGTGTGTGTTTAAACTATGTTTTTGGCTATAACTGTATCCACAGAGCTCACAGGCAAAAGGCTTATCTCCTGTGTGGACTTTCATGTGTGTGTTTAAACTATGTTTATGGCTACATCTGTATCCACAGAGCTCACAGGCAAAAGGCTTCTGTCCTGTGTGGACTCTCATGTGTGTGTTTAAATTTATCTTTTGCCTAAATCTCGTTCCACAGAGCTCACAAGGAAAGGGCTTCTCTCCTGTGTGGACTCTCATGTGAATGTTTAAAGTTGTCTTTTGGCTAAATCTTTTCCCACAGAGCTCACAGGCGAAAGGCTTCTGTCCTGTGTGGACACTCATGTGTTTGTTTAAACTTCCCTTTTCACTAAATCTATTCCCACAGAGCTCACAAGCAAAAGGCTTCTCTCCTGTGTGGACTCTCATGTGTGTGTTTAAATAATGTTTATGGCTAAATCTTTGTCCACAGAGCTCACAGGCAAAAGGCTTCTCTCCTGTGTGGACTTTCATGTGTGTGTTTAAACTATGTTTACGGCTAAATCTTTGTCCACAGAGATCACAGGCAAAAGGCTTCTCTCCTGTGTGTACTTTCATGTGTGTGTTTAAACTATGTTTACGGCTAAATCTTTGTCCACAGAGCTCACAGGCGAAAGGCTTCTGTCCTGTGTGGACACTCATGTGTTTATTTAAACTTCCCTTTTCACTAAATCTATTCCCACAGAGCTCACAAGCAAAAGGCTTCTCTCCTGTGTGGACTCTCATGTGTGTGTTTAAATGAGGTTTCTGGCTACATCTGTATCCACAGAGCTCACAGGCAAAAGGCTTCTGTCCTGTGTGGACTCTCATGTGTGTGTTTAAATTTATCTTTTGGCTAAATCTTGTTCCACAGAGCTCACAAGGAAAGGGCTTCTCTCCAGTGTGGACTCTCATGTGAATGTTTAAACTTCCCTTGTCACCAAATCTATTCCCACAGAGCTCACAAGCAAAAGGCTTCTCTCCTGTGTGGACTCTCATGTGTATGTTTAAACTATGTTTATGGCAAAATCTTTGTCCAGAGATCACAGGCAAAAGGTTTTTCTCCTGTGTGGACTCTCATGTGTGTATTTAAACTATGTTTATGGCTACATCTGTATCCACAGAGCTCACAGGCAAAAGGCTTCTCCCCTGTGTGGACTCTCATGTGTGTGTTTAAACTTGCCTTTTGGGTACATCTGTATCCACAGAGCTCACAGGCAAAAGGCTTCTCTCCTGTGTGGACTTTCATGTGTTTGCTTAAATTATGTTTATGGCTAAATCTTTGTCCACAGAGCTCACAGGCAAGAGGCTTCTCCCCTGTGTGGTCTCTCATGTGTTTGTTTAAACTTGCCTTTTGGGTGCATCTGTATCCACAGAGCTCACAGGCAAAAGGCTTTTCTCCAGTGTGGCCTTTCATATGACTGGTTAAAGTGGACTTTAGGCTAAATCTTTTCCCACAGTCATCACAACTAAATGATTTCAGTTGTTTCTGGACTCTTCTGCATGAGACTCCATGCTGTTTCTCTTTCACACATTTTGTATTAACCAAACACTCTGAAGACTTTACTGCTGAATGACTTGTCACTCTCACATGTTTCTGAAGACACCACTTGTGGAGGAACCGTATACCACACACAGGGCAGGTAAATGATTTGTTGACGGTCTTAATATTTGACTCCGAAGACTTGTTCTCATTACAGCCATTGTCTCCGTTTCCAGTTTCAGGCCCAGAGTTTGAACGCTCAGAGTCTAGATTCACATCATCTTCATCTTCTCCACTAACTTCAGTCTCTGAAGAATCGGATGTCTTTTCATTAGGGTCCAGATCTAGGTTCTTTATAGTTTCTGCTCCTCCACCAACTTTTGCTGTCATCTTCCCAGCCAAGCTGCTGGTTGGGACACCTCCGTCTTTCATTGGATGGTTGTGGAAATGTAAGTGCAGAGGTTTCTCATCCATCTCCTCTCTCTTCCTTGAATCTGAAGTGAACCAAGCAGAAATATATAAAATAAAAATATTCAGTAAAAGAGAAGACAAAATACCCAGGGGTGTTTTTGCAATCAGTAATATACATAACCAATGTTGGTAAACACATTACTATTTATGGTAATGTATTACTTTAACTTTAACAAATAACTATGAATCTAATGAGTTGCTTTTAAGTCCAGACATCACTATGCGATTGGTAGAAGGAAAAAAACGCTATCTGCAAATTCTGATTAACGCCTCTCAGAGCCGGTCAAACCAGCCGTCCGTCGCTGCTAATGTGGAGCCTAGAGATACTGTTATGGAAAAAGGTATGTTTATTAATTCTTGATCATGGACTCAATCAACTGAATGTAATATGTATTGCTCTATCAGAGGCGGTTTTACCATTAGACATAGGTCGGCGGCCGCCTGGGGCCCCCTTGTGTTGGGGGGCCCCCTAGCCCTGACCGCTGGCACCCTTCTGTTAATGCCACAATATTCCTATTACCAACCTGTGGCCGCAGACGGGATTGGACATGCGCACTTCTCATTACCATAATTCCTGAACAGTTCAAGATATCATTAAAATTCCAAAAGTGCTGAAAAGATTAAAGATGGGGCGTTTCGTGCATATACAATACATTACGGTAGCCACCGGGATTCCCTGTCTTGAGCGCAACAAATCACAACACAGATTCAGAGACGTGCTGAGTTTGTCATCCAAACTGCTCCGTTTTATAACTTTTGAATGGCTGATCAGATTCAAAAAATTCCAACTGTTCCTAAAAGTACATAAAAGCAGCTATCCAATGATCTATAGCACGAAGCAATCAGAGTTATGGAAAATATCGCTACGAGGGGAAATCCTGCTGTACAGCCTGATTGAAATGGAGCGCAGCGCCGCGGTGAAAGCGGATAACGGAACGAGGAAGCTAATTAGCATAAAAAGCCAGCATGAAATTATGGAAATGCCTCAAAGAAAATCAACACGATCTATTAGGTGTCCCAGAAGGCTTATATCTGAAGACAGTGACCACGAAGAAGGACAGATCTCCAGTGAATCAGGGTATGAATAATAATTGTTCTGTCTTTATTTTTTATTTGAACAACCGTCAATTATTTGCTAACTGTAAGATTCAGCTTCATTCCAGCATTTTTTATCTTCTTACAATAAATAATTAGTTTTGTTAAAACAAAAGTTTTAAATTTTTTTTGTTAAAACAAAAGTTTTTGGTATAGCAGTGCATGGTGTGCAAGAGAAGCACCCCATGGCAATGTGAGGTGTGCTCTGCCTGCAGCTGGAGAGAAACTGCTTCAAGGTCTACCACATCAAATAAAAACATCTGAAAGTTTACAAAGATAAATGGTCTTAAAAACTGCTAAAAAAGATACCAAGGTTCAAACTTTTTTAAGAATAGATGCATTTCAGTTCAAAGTTTAAATTGTTCATTCCAAATTGTTTGCCCAGTAAATTTGAAGTTCCTGTTCAGTAATGAATGTAAAAAATTCAAATCCGTTTTTTGCTTTTTTCACTTTTAAGCTGATTTTTTTAAAGGCTTTAATAGAAATAATTTCTAAATACAAACCATACACTGAAAGCTGAGGTTGTTCTGAAAAAAGGAGAAGAGTTACACACACTTTGCACTTTTTATTACAATTTTACAGCCATAAGATTAAAAAAATACCAGGCGGCCCTGTTATAATTCTGGTCATAAGAGGGTTATTAAGACGGCGATGCACAAACAGAAGTGATTGGTAGTCATTCCACTCCAATCCAGTTGGTAGCGGTAATACACCAAATTGTTGTTTGCCAAGTGCCATAAGACCACAAATAAGAAGAAGAAGAGAGGCAGGAGCGTTCGTAACAAACTCAAAACGATAGTCAAAACATGAAGCACGACATGGAGTTATCCTAGTGGCTCCAATAAGAGAAAGACGCTGCTTGCTTCATAAACGCTTTTATTTTCACTTCTGAAAGTGACGTCATTTTTCGATGTAAACATCAAAGGAAGCAGAAAGGAAAGACAATGGAAAATGTTTAAAGGGAGGAAAACATAGACCAAAATGGAAAATAGAATAAACATAACTAAGGCTAAAGCACAGGAGCACTGACAGGAATAAGAAAGCAGAGCAAATATTGAAAGCGCTCAAAGGGAGGGAAATAAAGGAAAAAAAGAGGAGGACTAAAAAAAAGGGAAAAGAACTCATGTCAGAAGAGGGGAGAGATTCGCAAATCCAGTTAAAGGTAAGATTGTCGGAAATTTAGTGTAAGGGGCCCCATGTCTGTGTTCGCCTTGGGCCCCCAAATTGCTAAATCCGCCTCTGTACTCTATGCCTCTCTGCATGCCCACTAGTTCAGGTCTCGGTCTCTCGGTCTCTCTCTCTCTCTCTCTCTCTCTCTCTCTCTCTCTCAACACCGGATATTCGGTGTGTTTTGCCTCGTGCATCTTGCCACAGTTATAACTGTTTGACTCTCTCAACTCTGTGACCGGATGTTCGGTGCGCGTCTTCAATGTTAGGGAAAGAAAGGGAGGGGCCGACGCGATGCTGCTCTCAGGGTATCTGTCATGGATTTTATCAATATGTTTATCAATAGCCCATTTCCTGTAGTCGGCAAAAATGTAAACAAACATATCTGCCGAAGCTTTACTCCGTGAGAGTGCTGTAAAGTTTGTATCCTACAACGAAATCACGGGGCAGAGGAAGCTCGTTAAAATGCGTCAAAACAGTAAATGTAATACGTGTTTTAAGAAGAAACTGTGGGTGGAGTGAGGTGAGATTGTAAGGCTCGCTGCAGAAATAAAAACACAGCATTAACACTCGTCTGTAACCCATAAAATAATAATTAGCATCATGCTGCTAGTTCAGCAGCTTGTGATGACAGTTCTGCTCACTGGGTCAGCTGACTTGAATCCACAAGATGGGACATATGGCACTAGAATTCCAGATAAAGAGCTAGGAGCAAGGCCATTTAAACATTTGTAGGCCAGAACCAAAACCTTAAATTGAACACAGGACGGAACTGGGATCCAATGAAGAGAGGTAATAACTGGAGTGATATGATCAAATCCACAAGTGCCAGTCTAAAGGCATTTTGAACTAGCTGCAGCCTAGCAATACATCCATGATCAACACCCAAGTAAAGACTATTGCAGTAGTCTAAACCAAATGCATTAAATGCATGAATAAGCTTCTCAAAATGATTCCTCATCAAAAAGTACTTATAAAGATTCTTTAGGTGAAAAAAGCATACTAGAACCACATTATTGACTTGAACATCAAATTTAAAGGAGCGTGGGGCAAGTAAATAGGATACATGTTCATTCTTGTGAAGCTTATGGGTGATGAAGCATTTTAAACTAAAAAGAATGATGAAACCAGTTTATCATTCCATTTTGTTAAACAGGCTTTGTGCTGCATAATGCAAAACACTTTGGATCCGAATTTCCCGCGCTGTTTTATGGATGTGATGTTAATTGACGCTTCAAGCGCGTTCTCGACAAGGTTCAAAACCGGAAAAACAAATAGAAGCTTGCTAGGTGGCGGTAATGCGTCTTTCACTACTAGTCACGTTAAAACCTCAAACAGAAGTGGACGAACCCTGGAAATGGATTCTACAACTAGCAAAAGACCAAGCGCAACTCAAAGCCCACTAAAGAGTGGCACAAAGAAGAAGGTTTTATCGGCGGCATCTCGAGAGTCAAAAAGAAAATATGATAAAAGTCGGTCAGGGACCCGAATATGTATTGGGTACGCTCTGGAAGAATGGAGGCTGCTTCAACTCGATTTGAGCCTGAAAAAGGATGCGGACATGGCGCATTTTCTAGTCTGCTGTAGGTTTCAGTAACGAGTAGGTAAACATATCAGAGCTGTATCTCCACAATTTAAGAAAAGAAAATAAAACCTATGGATTTAGATAATACTGATTTAGGTAATTAACAATTTTTTGTGCAGATGATCAAAAAACAAGAAACTTATCAAAGCTAACGGTGTTTAGCATATGGCTTCCTGTCAGTTTGAAAAAGCTAAAAGCAACTAAGGAGTAATCGGATCACTTCTACGTTTTGTGGACGACACACCGCTTGTGTTTTGAGATAAATGGATGCTCCGTTTATTCTGACGAGAAAAGTAAACAGAGCTTGATTTGATTATATGACATCACCGATCAGTCGGAGAGAGCTAGCGTGCGGTAGCATTTTAGCTGTGATCACGCTTCAGTTTCTATGTACCACAGAAGAGAACGGACATTTTCCAAACCAAAGATGAGTCTTTAGAATTATGTCATATCTGATCTACAGTCCAACCTCTAAGCAGGACTGTTACTTCAGTAGATAATGTTATTTGTGGAGTTTGTGTAACAGAACCCCATCGGAATATCTTTTCCTAACGTTATTGCTGTGCTACAAAAGAGTAAATAATGAGTCAGCCATAACTACATGTTTTACTAAAAGTAAAGTTGTGCAGAAGTTTGTGTTTATTTTTCTAAATTTGTCCTGTTGAATGTAGATCAGAATAAAATATGTTTGTGAAAATGATAAATACATTTTTTTTATAACTGACCTGCATTTTCATATTACTAGTTGTGCCACAGGTAAAAAAGCTTAGCCATTATTGATCTATGTAAACAGAAGGTGTAGAGTCTCAACCAACTTGTTGACATTTTTGTTTAAAAATGTGTTTTCCAGCTACCGGAAGAAGCAGGCTCCTGAAACTGCAATTCAGGGAGGTTATGTGAGGTCAACCTCGACACCCAGTAAGCGAACAGCAGCTAAAATGTCGCACAGATTATCTCCAATTGAACCTGTGTCTGAGGGGTTAGTATCTTCTCTGTAAAACAAATATTCAAGTTTTTGTGCTATATTTCATACATTAAATTACACCTTGTATATCCACACTTGGTTCAGAACTAACATCACACCACCAAACACTTCTGACATTATCTTTACAGGGAAGATTTTCTAATGGCTGGTGTTGAGGCCTTAGCTGATGACCTAGATTTGGATCCTTTTGAAGAAAGGTAAATTTGTTCATGAGAAGTCTTGCCATATATGCAGGAAATTACTGCTGTACTATGTGCAAAAAAGATAAAAACACAATAGATAAGCAAATATAGGTCATTATATATATTTATTTATGTTGTGAAGTGTCAATTCACGGCAGATTGTTGTTATTTGCAGAAAGAATTAATGACAGATGTATTAGGCTCCACATTTATCTCTTTAGAATCAGTACCATTTCAGGTAAGTTCCAGTATTTATCTTTACGTACAACAAATATTATTGTGTTGTCTGTAGTTTCAAATCCATGGATCTAGCTACGGATGCAGTCCAAATTGATGAGGACCAAGCAAACAACTTACTCAACAGTGTGTGAGTTGCAATGTCTTATCTACACACTTTTTTAAACTCCAAAGTCTTAAGACAATATATGAATTCTACTTTTATTTATTGTTTTCATAACAGACTAGAACTGGACGAAAATCGTTCAAATCCTATGGACAGTGATTATGTGCCACCGATCTGTATACAGTATGTATTTCTTTGTAGTAGATCCTATGATCTGTTTCCTTAAGCTTTGTTGGTAGGGTGGGTGGTGGAGGAGGGGCGTGCATTTTACATGTATAAATGAATTAGACGATGATGACTTACATTGTTGCATCATAAAGACAGTTCACATGTTTGTTTCCTGTCACACAGAGCGGCTGGTGGTTTACAGCGTGCAGTTGATGCTCTACCCATTGTTGGGCAGGACGAAAGTGTCATTGACATTCTTCAACGAGATGGTGAAACAGATGAAGAAGCTGACAACCCAGAGCAATATGAGGAGGCGGACAATGATGTACCCTCTTTCCCCAGTGTAGAGAAGGTCTCCATAGAAGAAGACCTAGTCAACCAGCCAGCATGCATCACTTTCACCAGCAGCATGGCAAGACTGGTCAATTTCCTCCAGCTGCCCATCCAGAAATGTTTTTATAGGGACAAGCTGATTCGTACAGAATGTGATGCCACTCCACCATTTCATTTCAAACTCAACCGAAGGGGAAGTGCTACCATTATCGAGTGGGTGAGTTGACTTTAGATATCAGTTTGGTTATTAACCTGAAAATATATACAAAACACAGAGTTTTACACTGGTCTGGTTGCTCTTAGAATGACATAAAGTTAGGCACCTATTTTACAGAGGATCACAAATATTTAGGATGTAGCCTACAAATATATTTGATTTAGAGCTGGAGATCAGAATTTCCTTGACAGGTAAGCCTCAAAATATGAATTTGGTTAGAACACAAAATGCCTACACATTGAGCTGCTGCTAATATAGACATCATATCAGATTGTAGATATCCTGATACAAATCAAAATGTTCTTGTCTTTTCTAGTTTTGCATTAATGGGCATATGCTGTGGAAGTGGAACAGCCAGCCTGTCCTGAAGTACGCGATGCAAGGAGGGGACTTCATGGTTGCCACTCCTCTCTGGCAATAACTTTTCAAAGCTTGCCCTCTTCTTTAGGTTTATGAATATTGGCGTTGTGTCTCCAAAAACATTCAGAATTATACAGAACTATTATTTGGTTGACTCTATAAAAGATTTTTGGGAGAAGAAGAGAGCTGCCATCATTGACTGCCTGCGTGTAAAGGAAAGTGTTGTTGCACTTGGTGAGTATGGAAATGCACTACATCAAACAGCAGCAGATAATACTTTGCATAAACAATTTGGACTAACTTGCAAGTGAAAAAAGTTAGCAATTAGTTAAATTGCTGTTATGGGCAAATTATTACTTCATATCTTTTAGAAGATATTTTATGATTTGATGTATATCTAACATTCTAGATTTTATACATCTATAATATCTACTAGCCAAGAGTTCAGGTTCAAATGTCATATACTTGCATTTCTCTGTTTCAGCTGATGGAAGGATGGACTCTCCAGGTAATATTAATTATTTTCTAATCGTTTATTTTTGTTGACAATTTTATGCAACCTAAAATAATTTTTAAAATTGTAACAAATGTACAGGCCACACTGCCCAGTTCTGCACTTATACGACCATGGAGAATGACTCCAAGGACATAATAAGTGTTGTCACTGTTGACAAACGACAAACCAATCGCAACAGTGTCACAGATGCGCACATGCAGATTTCTGCACTGTTGGGTAAATATGTCTTTATAAGGATTGCAACACTTTATGTTCCACATTACGGAGCCTGCCACAGTTCATCTATGAACAAAAGGCAACATTTTAATAACATAATTGAAGAATACTATGATTAAACCTTACTAAGTGCTTATTTATTGCAGATCCAAGAAAAGGAAGATACAAAGAGAAAGCTATAATACATTCCTTGGATGTCTGGCATGCAGCCAAAAATCTGACCAAGAAACTTCATGTGGTAGGATTAATAACAATGGAAGTTATTGTTTCAAATATTTGTGAATAGCAATAATAATGAGACTTTATTGTCGTTATTGTTGTTTTATCATCTTTGGTGTGTTCTTGCTGTGTTGAAATTCTAGTTCCATCTTTTAGTTCTTTTTAAAACATAGGTTTTATTTACCTGCAACGTTTTGTTTGGCTGCAAACTTCGTCAGCCTGACGAAGTTTGCAGCCGCAAACAAAACGTTGCAGGTAAAAAAAACCTATGTTTTAAAAAGAACTAAAAGATGGAATTGTTTTATCCTTGTTCACAGGCTGGGATTCTAAAGGGAAATGCCATCCTACTTGTGTGGCTGAAGGACATCGTCAACCAATTTTGGTACATTTGCCAGAAAGCACAACATCGTGATATGTTTAATGTAAGTATTGTGACATCTTTTGGACAACAAGACAACAATGCACATTGACATAATTACCTTTCTTTTCATAATAGTGCCAGCTCTCGTGTTTCTGTTGGTGAGCGCTTCTGTTGTTGCAAGTCCCAGCCGGTCAAGACTTAGGAACAGTGGTCAGAGACAAGGGTCACAGAAGGGTCAAGAGGACAAGGGTTCAGGACTTGCTGGCGGGGACAGAACGAGGCAAAAGGTCAAAAGGCAGGCTGGCTTCTCTGGATCCACCCATGGGTCCACCCATGGCCCCTCCCCTGGCTCCTCCTCTGGTGGGAAAAGAAGGAATGGAATGGAGTGAGGAAAGTCCAACTGGACCCAGAAGCTCTCAGGAATGCTGAAGGAAGATCTACAATTTATGACCTGTGCTCCCATTCCAGGAGTGCAACATGTAACTTTTGTGCCCTCATGTGAATACTGCATGTAGTGAAAATGATACCAGATGTCTTATGTAGAGCTAAAAAAGTGTATTTGGTAAATGACCCCTTGACCTAAACTGTCAGGAGAGAATGACTTGACTCTTACATTGTTTAGAGCAGTCTCAGGAATGATATAAAAGGATGCAGCTCAGATCGGGCAAGGCCCCTTTTGAAGGAGACTTGACACGGAAGATTCTCAGAAGACAGGAGCTGGTGTAAACTAACTCTTTTATTTAATCATTTTGAACTAATCCCTCCTTGGGGGATAGCAGTTGTTTTTATATATTTACTCATTTTTGTATTTTTCTATTTTGTAATAAACTTTTTTGGAAAAGAAACATAATCCTGATTCTTTCAGGTTTTCTCTAAAGCTTCACGTTTAGAGCCCTGACCATAATTGCACAGAGGTAAGCATGTCGATCATAGGTCTCTGAATTATCAGGACTTACTTTACAGTTTATAATAAAATAATATAAAGAAACCTTAAGATAAGGGGAGTTTAACTCCCCCCTCCTTGCGAGTAACGAGTTGTCTTAAGGGAGATAAAACCAAAATATTAGAGGTTATTTTTGGCTCTGATTGCAGGTTGAAAAAGTCTCTACCAGCTGGAGGGGTTGGATTAATTAAATAAAATTGATAAACTTATGTTAGCCTGATCAACTAGCATAAATCATTTTACAGTTACCAACCTCCCACATAAGCTGTTAGAGGCGCAATTAATCCAGATAACCCAAAAAATTGCTGAGAGGCGTGGCTTGCCTCCAGACTTCTCTCTAGTATCTTAACCAAAAGGTAACGAGTTTAAAAGAAGTGGACTACTCTGGGGATACTATTCGTGCAAGTCATTTCACCTTTAAAATAAAAGACACGATTCTAATTAGGAGGTCCAACCCCGGGTCTGATACGATAAAACTCGCCGACATCCCCTAGAACCCTGATGGAAGCATTGTCTCATAAGTTCTAACGGAACCGGTAAATGGGACGGGCACGCGACATGGCGCAACAACGTGGGGCTACAGAGCGAAGGTACAAATATTAGATACCGGACTATCCGACGTAGAACTGTCTTTTAGGCTTATAAAAGCTTACGCGCTATGGACCTGATACGCTTATAACCTTGGAGTGAAAACCGCACCAATTTCTCGAAAAGGAAAGAAATTTGGGAGAACGGACGATTAACTCAAAGAGGTATAAAGAAATCACGGCTTTCCGACGTAAGAATAGCCAAGGATAAAAGCTAGGCAAAAAAATAAGAAGGAATAAAGAGTAAGAATAAAGAATAAGACGTGAAAACAAATAAAAATAAAATAAATAAAAAAAGAGAAACTTTCAACCAGCCATGGCAGATAGATCTTTAACGGTAAAACCGGAAAATATTCTCCTTAATGTGAGATTTGTCACCGGAGAAATAGCGACATTTCAAGGTGAACCACAAAGCGTTTTAGCAATATCCTGTAACCGAAGCTTTCAGAACGAGGCCGGCACAGCTCAAGCCGCAGCGGAGCGCTGTCCGAATGCTGAAACTCAAGTAAAGAATAATCATGTATTTCCGTTAGTGGGTGATTTAGTGATTCTAGCAGAACAACAAAATGATCCTGTTTTTAATCAGATAGCGTGGTGTTGTTGGGAGAATTCAGCGAAACTCCCCACGGGCGAGCAATATGAGATCCTTCTGGGATTGCTTGAGCAAATACCAACTGGACCGGAACCTTTAGTTCTCACTCCATTTGGAGTCGGGCAGTACCGATGTGATCCGGGAGCGATGTACTCTGCTATGGCAGAGTTCGTGGTTCAACAGGCTAATGGTAGAACAATTTACTTCTTATCTAGAAGCAAAAATGAGGCAATTCAAATGAGACAGGCGTTATGTAACCGACTGGGAATCACGGAGCTCCAAGCGGAAATGTACCGAAGGAGAGCTGCGGTCGAAATGTCATCCTCCTGGGATGAAGTCCCATCGGTTCCGACCGCGCCCCCTTTGTATCCAGCACTTCGCGGGGAATTCCCTGTGAGCCCCGGTTCCGAGAGCGGATTTCCTGCACCCCCACCGAACCCGCCTGACGCGGTTCGGCCGGCGCAGTGGAACCCGTTTCTACATGTACAAACCCCTTCTCAGGTGCCCATGAGAGGAGCAGAGAGATCGCCCACTGAACAGCATGTTGCTGCGTGGGAGAAAGACGAGACTCAGAGACGGTCAGGGGCTGAAAGGACTCCAAACCCAATTCCTTTTCCCCCATTAGAACCGCATAGTCCCGCGGCTCCTCCGAATCATGTTATGATAGGTCAAGAGCCGGTGATAATTTTGTCAAACGAGAAAATAGATGCAGAACTCCGAGAGGAAGATGTGTTGATCTTTCTGAAAGATCCACAAAGTTCTGCCGGTACCACGTCCTCTTTAAGTTCTGTGAGGAGACTCTTAGGGGCAGAAAGGAGGAACTCCATGATCCCGCTGGTAGATCGTAATTACGAAGCTTGAGAAATTACTACTCTCTTAGACAAGCAATTAGGGAATCTGGAAGGTCGTGTTAGCGCTATTTCCATAATTAACGTAGACCCTCATAATCCCGACATCTCTTTTCACCAAGCTTGGGAGCGGGTGGTGTCAGAAGCCTTGGATTTAGGAGCGCGACGGCTAGTGCTAAAGCTTAATAACAAACCCCAGGTGTGTCGGATAACTGAAGCATATGGTGCAGGTTTGGTGGTTTATTCTGAAGCCTCCAGCAGGCTCTGAGACATTCCGGTCGTAATTTTAGTGGATAAATCAGCCTTGCCGCGAGTAGAGAAGAAAGTCATATATTGGTTTGACGCCAGAGACAGAAGCAGCGAGAGTGAAGCTGAATCGGAGGAAGAACAGGGTTCCCAACTGGTGGTGCGTGGCACACCCAAGGGGACGCTCAGGTCAGAATGCGGATCCCAACAAAAATGCAGCAATCGGATCCCTGGAGGCAAAACACCTGAAAAAGTGAGTTGGTTATCCCCTGTTACAGCCCATGAGCAAAGTGAGAACAGAGGAAATGTAGAGCAGCAACCCCAGAGAGCAGAAAAAGGAGATGAGACAAATCCTATAGTTTATGGCATTAGAGGACTAAATAAAAATAGCCGTCCAGTACAGATGAAATATTATGACCCTCAGGCACCTCCTAACGTAGGCTCAGTTAGACCAGTTCCAGAACCAGGGCGAGGCCAGTTTGCAATTAATACAGAGGGAGACCAGAATTATGCAGGAGAAGAAGCAGAAAATCCTTTTCCAGACTGGTACCCTGTGGATGGCTTCACGGCTTCGGCAATTCAAGCAGCAAAAAGTAGGGAGGAAGTCATGTTGCAATCAGGATGGGGGCAGCCTTTCAAGCATGCTTTTTTGGGCCAAGGATATGATTTTTATCGAGGTGGGTGTATGGCTAGAGATTCGGCAGTGAAAACTCACTGCTACTCGCCGTGCAGCCCCTCCCAACCTTTGGATGCAAACCGAAGCACCCCGCAGGGAAGACAATTTAATTCAATGCCTAAGGAGAGAATCCTAGAACAGGAATATTCCCCATATTGGCAAACCGCTCAGGAACAGTCAAGAGTAAGCTTAGGACATTTTGATCATACCATCCTGCCACAGAGAGCACCGGGTGAGACAGACAATGGTTATGTGCAGCGGCTTCAGGATCGAGGTATGACGATTGAACAACTTTCAAGTCCAGAGATTTCTCAGGTCATAGCATTAAAGAACGATCTGCGTTTAACCCCAGGAGCCTCGCTGATGTCCTTGGCGGAGAGTTCTCCCAGAGGGATTGGTGAGGATTCTGGTGAACGATGGAGGAAAGCTTTAAGTGCTGAAATCAGTACAGGAAAAATTACATTAGCTGGGTGCTTGGGAACAATCGCAGGGCTTTCACAGGTTCAGCAGGAAAAACTTTTAGCTGATCTGCCAGGGGGATTAATGATGGCTGCGATGTGGCCTAATCTCTCTCCTGCAGAAAAAATCCGACAAGCACAGGCGTGGGATCGCACAAGGGAATTTAAGCAGTGAAATAACGAATTAGGACGGCAGGCCGGAAACAGATTGAAAGGTCAGATACCATCCCCTCTGCCCCCTCCACACCAACAGCAAGGGAGCCAATCAGTGAGCTCTCAACCGAGGCAACTCCCACCCAGGACAGAACTAGGGTTGTCACGGTAACCGGTATAGCAGTAAACCCCGGTAAAAAAGTTGACAATAAAAATAACCGTCCAGTTTTTAAAAAACTAAATTATCTCGGTGGGTTTACCGTGGCCGCGGTTTCGGCGCGGTGACCCTTACCAGCCACCGTCGCTTCAGCTGAAGTTCCCGAGGCGCGCACACGCACTTTTTAGTTTGCAACGGCACCAAAACTTTGAAGATGAAATAATGGCCGAAGGAGGAGACGGCAGCGCCCAGGACATCCATCAGCCCTCAAAGAAGACTAAATCGGAAGTATGGGCATATTTTGGATTTCTGAAAAATGCTGAGGGACAGTTAATAGAAGACGGCTATCTCGATTGCAGAACGTGCAGGAAACAAGTGTCTGCAGAAGGCAGCAACACTTTGAATCTAATGGCACATCTGCGTGACCATCACCCACGTCTCTACAGCCAGTGCAAGGTAAGTTAACATTAGCATTTTAGCTTAAATGCATGACGTGAGGACTTTTGGTTGAGGGAGAATGCAACGAGTCACCATAGACTGCAGCCGCAGCGCCCTCTGCCAGCATTTAAACCGTGTCACGGACACCCTGTTGCTGGATGAAGCATCTTATTTGTTGATGATGAAGAGAAATATACAATTAGTTCCTTGTCATTGATTTGTTTACTTATTCAATGCCATTTATACTTGAACATTTGGATTTGATTACATAGTGTAGTAGTTATTTTAGTAATTTGTTTAAAGTGGCTATTTGTTTTAAATACATATATTTTTAAGGTTGACTTGTACAGTGCTCAAGTCAAGTGTGGACTGGAGTTTTAGATTTCCATTTTGATAATGAAGAAAACAAGTATATGAGAAAACAAGTGGTGTTTCTTTGATTTGTTTACATATTGTTTATGTTTTGAATGTTTGGATTTGTATAATTTAAACCTGCACTGACTACTGTAACATGTTCCAGAAAAAGAAGCTATGTGTTCCTTTACTTCTGAAAAGGTGCACTTTTGCTAAGGCTTTGTGTTATTTTAGGTTTAATAAACACTGTTAAACCTTTTCAGAACTATTTCAGTTTGTGTAGAACAGGACTATCAATGCTTTCTGAACATATGCAACACCGTTTAAAAAATACCGCGATAATATCGAAAACCGTGATAATTTTGGTCACAATAACCGTGAGGTTAAATTTTCATACCGTGACAACCCTAGACAGAACCGAATCAGAACCAGAGATCCAGGGGCCAAATGGACCCGAATGCAAGGCCGTTTTTCATGGGACCCCCCGGCTGCCCTGTGGCTCGACCCAGGAGAGCGAACCCGGAGGAGTGGGCCCGGATGACCAAAGAACAGAAGGAGAAATTGATCCAATCAATCAAAGATTGGGACGCGAAATACAACAATCAGAGAAACCGACCGCCACCACCACAAAAGTAGAAATAATTGAGGCGCTCTCATCTCATACGCATTGGGATGGAGAGTGGCTTAAAGTAATATACGAAAATACAAAATACATTTTAGATACCGGGGCATTAATATCAGTAAAGCGTGAAAATAATCCGATGGAACAAATAGGATACAAGAATGTGATACTCGCAGATGGCTCTGTACGTAACATGGCAGTTCATAAAGACGAACAGGGAATTCTTTACATAAAAGGAGCAGAAAACTTAATTAGTTTAAAGGATTTAGTAAAAATAACAAAAGACCCAGCACTTCATGAGTTTTCTAGGTGAATTAGATGTGGACAGTCTCATTAAAGAGCAACTGGAGAAGACTAGTCTGGACCCACACAAACTCAGAGAAATAATCCAAAAAGGTAATTGGGCTACACACAAAAATGATTGTGGCAGAGTAAAAGAACAATGCATTATTAAAGGAGCGATGCCTGCCAGGGAAAAACAGTATCCGATCAGAGAGGGAAGAGATGAGATCAGGTGTACTCTCGCTGAGCTTAAAGAAAAAGGGATAATCGAAGAGAAAGATACATTATCCACCTGTCTTCCCATTCAAGCTGTTCCTAAACCTGATGGCACCTACAGATTGGTACACAATTTGAAAGGATTAAATAGGGTGACTCCGCACGACGTGCGTAAAACTTTTGACCCGTACATGCAGCTCCGAACCATGCCTATTAAAAAATATAAAACATGCATTGATTTGGCTAACGGTTTTTGGTCTGTCCCTTTAGCGCAAGAAAGTCGAGCTAAAACTGGCTTTACGTTTGAAGGAAAGCATTATCAATGGTGCGTTTTGCCTCAGGGATGGGTAAACGCGCCGAATAAATTTCAAGGAGTCGTACAGTCATATCTGGAAGGTTTACCTGTCGTTCAATATATCGATGACATATTTTTCACGCATGACTGTGAAAGCGAACACCTGAAAACTTTGGACGAGGTGGTGACCAGGCTGACATGTGCAGGATTCAAACTCAACTTGAAGAAAAGCCAACTAGGACGCACAAAAGTTACGTTCCTAGGTTTTGAAGTGTCAGATTCAGTGTCGGTACCTTCCACCTATCTGCAGAACATAACACCCCCGCGTGACTTACTCACGCTGGAAGGTGTTATCGGACAGCTCCAGTACATTTCCAGCAACGTCCGTGATTTTCGAAGCATCATTGATCCCATAATGTCACTTAAAAAAGGTCTCAGAACCAAAGTGGGTCAGAAACTGGTGACGCACAACTGCAAACTGAGCTCACAGGAGCTTGAGACTCATCAAGCAGTGATGGTTAAAATGGGTGCTAATCTAATGAATCTTTCAAATAGAGAGCATCATGAACCGTTAGCTGTTAAGAGTGATTGTAGGACAGGATTTCACAGAGTGTTTATTTCAGAACTATGACAGCAAGAGTCTGATAACATGTAAAGGCTATAAACTCGCACCAACTGAGAGCCGTTACACGCCCAGCGAAAAGGTGCTGACCACCCTGATGAAACATAAAGATATGATGTTCGCTCTGGCCGGATCGCAAAAAATCATAATTCAATCTACTGATTATATGATTAAAGAACTTCGGAAAGATCTCCTCCCACAGGCGAGGGCCGTTTTACCCAGATGGGCAAAGTGGGAGATGTTATTGGCAAACCCGCAGATTCACGTGGAAGGAGAAACAAAACTTAAGCCTGACAGGAAAGAGGTTGTTAAACCCATAAAACCAGAGGCAGTTTACTACACTGATGGATCTAAGAAAACGGCAGATGCAGACTTCTGTAAGTGGGGGTTTGTGAGACAGCTAAAGGACAGGAAGTACCAACAAACTGGACAGACTTTCGGATCCGCTCAAACTGCAGAATTGACGGCCGTTGTCATGGCGCTTGCTGAAGCGTGTAAGCTGAAACTCAAATCAGTAAGATTGGTCATAGACTCTAAATATGTTAAAGACGGGCTAGATGACCATTTGTCATTTTGGGAAGCTAAAGATTTCCAGAAAACTGATGGAGAGAGATTGGAACACGCTGACTTGTGGACCTTAGTATCGTGTTATAAGAAGAAATTACAGATTCAGGTGACACATGTAAATAGCCATACAAATGGAAAAAGCGAGGATGATATCGGAAACGCAGAAGTGGATGAATTAGTACAAGCTCAAGCTTTGTTTCTACCCACAGCGTTTTTACAGAACAGGAGCGCTGCAGCTGATGAAGAGCTGGTGACATTTGCGCATAAAAATTACGGACACGTAGGAGTGTTGCGTTTGCGTGAGATTTTCAAAAAAGAAAAGATTTCTGTACCAAAGCTAAAAGAACTAACAGCACGAGTAAAAGCGACATGTGAGTCGTGTAAAGAAAAAGGAGGGGCTCAACCCGTGATTTATGACCATTTGCCCATCATGTGTGATGTGCCGGGGGTGCATTTCAGCACGGATGTTGGTGAATGTGCCTCGAGAGGAGTGAACGGACATAAGTTCTTTTTGGTAATCAAAGATAATGGACCAGGTGATCAGAGCAAGATAATACCGCTGAAACGTGTCACAGGAAATACGGTCAGCATGGCCTTATCTCTGCATCTGCCCCTCACGTGTGAGTCACTCCGTTCAGATGGAGGACCTGAATTTAAGAATGACAAAGTTTCTTGTCTGCTTGAATCAAGGGGGATAAGACACATTTTTTCTATCCCATACGAGTCCCACACTAACGGAATAGCAGAAAGAGCAGTTAGGACGATAAAAAATCACATCCTAACTAACCTGAGCTCCCGATGGGATACACCGGAGGGAGTTTCAGAACTAAATGTGATCCTTAATAGAACGAAGCTGAAAAGAACTGAGAAAAAAACTAACCCAGAACACGTCTCTGTGTTACAGAAAGGTGAAAGAATTTGGGTCAAAAGAGGACCGGTTCGAAAAGGAGATTGCATTAAGCATAACGTAAGTGGACCCTTTATAATACAGGACGTAACTGGGAACGTGGTTTTAACTGACACTGGTTTGCGCGTTCACCCTCATCAAGTTATAAAATAACTCTAAAAAATAAAATTAATTAATTTAAAAAAAAATTTTTTTTTTAATTAATTACTTGATTGAAGGTCATGGCTGGGCCAAAATCTAGCGAAGAAATTACTTGTAAGATCCTAGGTACTCCGGGCCTCATTTTCGTAACGAAGGGGGATTCTATTAAAGATTGTAAAGTGGCTTTGTTTCCGGGCTTCATAGAATCTGCAAATGTGTATCGTTACGCGCAATGGAGAGGCTGGAAGCCGGGAACATGCGTGACATGCGGATCTCTGTGCACCCTAATTAAATGGTCGGGGCTCCGGGAGCAGAAGCCCACTCACCTGGAGAGAGGAACGGACTTGCATACAGGTGCAGTGGAGCTGTCTGCTCCCATTAAAATATGTTTTTGCAGAACCTGCTTGAGGAATAATCCAGGCATCATCTCCTGGCAGGTCTGTGAATGCACCCACAGAGGTGAAATCAAAGATGGGTGTTGTTTCATGAAGAATGATGTTTTGACTACCTGCTTGCCGACAAGCCAGCCCAGTATGTTTTTGTAGGAGAGCTGCTCAGAAATCCTAGCCTGGTGAAGCCAGTTAGAGATTTATGGGTGGAAGCTTATCCATTTGTGGTCAAGCTCAAGACCAGAGAAAAAGGACTGGAAGAGCTTCAGGCTCGGTCCAAATTTGAATCTATTAAGAGCTTGATATTAGGACAGCAATTTGGTACGCTGGCTGATGCATGGGAAACAGGTACACAGATTGGGGTAACTCAAGAGTGTAAAGATGACAGATGGGGAACTTATCTGTCAGGGACTCTTGACTGGCATACAGAATTGTCCGTTCAGGAGCCTCCGGGGATGCGTAAGCGTGTTACATCATACCTGGTTGAGCTGAAGAGTCTTGGACCAGGGGCAGAGCGTAAGTTCATGCCTTATCAGTTAACTTTGATAGAGGTAATAGACCTGTCGGGTCGCATTTGCAGCTCGGCTGTTAACATAGTGACCACCCGGAGAGGGGAGGCATATTGGCCTAAGATTTATGGGACTGCTCACACTAGAATGTCTCGTAGAAGGCTGGTCTCCAATCTGACTCTAACTAACTAGAGCAGGGCGCTTTCATTTCCTGCTGATTTTTATGCTTCTGTTTTTGCAGATGTTGTCTCCTCAGAAGCATAAGAGGGAAAGCAGCAGAAAACGAAAAGAGGTCAGGTATGCAACTCCGGCTGGAGTTGACCCCAAAGTTAAAAAGAAAAATGTAAATATTCCGAAAGGAAAGAATTGGATAATAAAATGGATTAAATGGGCCTTTTTTTATCCTTTTCAAATTTAGCCTCATAGGATTAAGTATAACGATTGCATATGGGGTACATGTATATCTCCGAACATATCATGTGTCCTCGGTGACATATAACATAACTCATGGAGGACCGCAACAATTAGTAGGGAATTGGAATGTATCCAAAATTAAGCTGTTATGGCCCAAAGAAGATTTTAATGAGAATATAACCACGTGCATGATAGCAACACAGATTGGATTCAAGATTTGTAGTGTAACAGGGAACAAAACTGGTTGCCTGCACTTGCCCTGTGGAGAAAATGGATTTGACCCTCCGTGACATTTTCTGCAGCAGAGCAGGAGGAGAGGAATGACACGGAGTGTGGTGAGACCGGCCCATGGGCGGAGTATATGGCAGTCTTAATGGATCAGAGAGGATCCACAGAGCTTGACCGAACTTGTCAGATAATATTAAGGAAAAAGAAAATCTTAAATCAAACTTCAGGTGAAGTAGAGTTGTGGGTTTACAAATATTGCCTTAGAAATGATTTAGAATGGGGACACAACTTCACCACTTTTAAAGTAATAAAAATAGAGAGATGGTGGCCTCGTAGAATCGAATTTGGGTGTTTTCAGACCAAAGACAGTAGTCTAAGTTCCTGGCAAACAGGGAATATTACGCATTGGTATCAAAGATTATCAAGAGGGAGAGAAAGAAGAGACGTTTGTCCGACCCCCCCTCCTAACACAACACTAAAATATCATTCCTTGTCCATGATAGAAGAGAGTCACATGTGGCAGAAAGTAAAAGATAATGTGATTAAATGGTTATCAAAAGTACCCCCTGCAATGTCTGATCCCCTGGCAGAGGCAGAGGAAGGTGAAGAGACCGTTCCTCTCTTTCTGGAGCCCGGTGTGCGGGGTAAGAGATCTACTTCAGAATTAGCTCGACTCTTACGTAAAGGTCATAGTGAATATGCAAACTACACAGGATATCAGAATTATATACTTCCCACTAATAGTACATATTTTAACTGGACATTTTTCTGCCTCCATAATGAGGTAGGCCTTCAGCCACAAGGATGGGAGCTGCATAAGATAAAACACACTCTTTATACAGAATGGGTATATGAGGTTCCTAATTTTAAACACCCGAAAGTAGTGCAATGGATGAAAAAGAATCAATCTGATCCCACTAATTTAGATACAGGATTTCATGCATGGAATGAGGAAACTAGACTCTGTTAAACCAAGAAAGCGAATAACAGCGCTTTATGGCAGGGAGGCGAGCCACTTAGAATAAGGATCGCAGGAGCATATTATCAAAAGGGTACAGCTACTCCTGATAGTATAATTGAGGCAGACTCCATCTTCGAAGCAGTAAATGAAATGATTAGACCAACCCATAAGAAAGATTTTTATCACAGTCCCACATGGGCTAGAAATTACACCTTAATGCTTGAAGGATGTCAGGTGGAAGTCTGTAATAATACTAAAGGGTTAACTAGAAGGATGTGTATTTTTTGGTATTCACAACTATATGAATTAACAGTTGGAGGTCTGCGTCCAGACACATTAGGAGATCGAGAGTTTTTTAAACCTAGGCCTCCTTATCTAAACATAGCTACTTTAGGAACTGGAGAATTATGCTATAAAGTCTTGAACCGTCACCTTATCGTGGTGGAGGAGTTTGAGTGCCCTAATGATCCTAGGAGCTATGTTGTCTGGGGCACTTAGTGCCCCTGGTAGGGTCTCCCATGACAAATTGGTCTTAGGTGAAGGGTGAGACAAAGAACGGTTCGAAGGATCTTTCATGGCGGTTAAAACGAAGAGTCGGAGTACCCGGCCCGGAGGGTTACCGGGGTCCCACCCTGGAGCCAGGCCTGGGGTTGGGGCCCGTGAGCGAGCGCCTGGTGGCCGGGCTATCGCCCATGGGGCCCGGCCGGGCCCAGCCTGAACCGGATACATGGGCTCGTCCAACTGTGGACCCACCACCCGCAGGAGGAACATGAAGGGTCCGGTGCAATGCGAATCGGGTGGCAGACCAAGGCGGGAGCCTTGGCGGTCCAATCCCCGGACAAGAAAACTAGTTTTTGGGACATGGAACGTCACCTCGCTGGCGGGGAAGGAGCCGGAGCTTGTGGCAGAGGTTGAGCGGTACCGGCTAGATATAGTCGGACTCACCTCGACACATTGCATTGGCTCTGGAACCCGAGACCTGGAGAGGGGTTGGACACTCTACTTTGCTGGAGTTGCTCCGGGTGAGAGGCGGAGGGCTGGGGTTGGCTTTTTGTTAGCCCCGAGACTCTCTGCCTGTGTGTTGGGGTTTACCCCGGGGGACAAGAGGGTAGCTTCCTTGCGCCTTCGGGTCGGGGAACGGGTCCTGACTGTTGTTTGTGCTTATGGGCCAAATATCAGTTCAGAGTACCCACCCTTTTTGGAGTCCCTGGGACGAGTGCTAGATAGTGCTCCATCAGGGGACTCCATTGTCCTGCTGGGGGACTTCAATGCTCACGTGGGCATTGACAGCTTGACCTGGAGGGGTGTGATTGGGAGGAACGGCCCACCTAATCTGAACTCGAGCGGTGTTTTGTTATTGGACTTCTGAGCAAGCCGCAGTTTGGCCATAACGAACACCATGTTCGAACATAAGGATGCCCACCGGTACACTTGGTACCAGGGCAGCCTAGGTCACAGGTCGATGATAGATTTTGTAGTCGTATCATCTGACCTGCGGCCGTATGTTTTGGACACCCGAGTGAAGAGAGGGGCGGAGCTGTCAACTGATCACCACCTGGTGGTGAGTTGGATCAGATGGCAAGGGAACATGCCGCGTAGACCTGGCAGACCCAAACGCATAGTGAGGGTCTGCTGGGAATGCCTGGCAGAAGAACCTGTCAAGACGGTCTTCAACTCCCACCTCCGGCAGAGCTTTGACCACGTCCCGAGAGCAGTGGGGGACATTGAGTCCGAGTGGGCCTTGTTCCACTCTGCGATTGTCGAGGCGGCTGTTGCTAGCTGTGGTCGTAAGGTGGCCGGTGCCAGTCGTGGTGGCAACCCCCGTACCCGCTGGTGGACACCAGAGGTTCGGGGAGCCGTCAGGCTGAAGAAGGAGGCCTACAGGGCGTGGCTGGTCTGTGGGGTCTCCGGAGGCAGCAGACAGGTACCGGATAGCCAAGCGGGGTGCAGCAGTGGCAGTTGCCGAGGCAAAATCTCGGGCGTGGGAGGAGTTTGGTGAGGCCATGGAGAAAGACTATCGATCGGCTCCAAAGAGGTTCTGGCAAACTGTCCGGCGCCTCAGGAGAGGAAGGCAGCAACTCGCTCACACTGTTTACAGTGGGGATGGGGAGCTGCTGACGTCAACTGAGGCTATAGTCGGACGGTGGAAGGAATACTTTGAGGAGCTCCTCAATCCCACCAATGCGCATTCCGAGGAGGAACCAGAGCTGGGAGGCCTGGGGATGGACTGTCCGATCTCGGGGGCAGAAGTTGCTGAGGTAGTCAAACAACTCCACAGCGGCGGAGCCCCGGGGGCGGATGAGGTTCGTCCTGGGTATCTCAAGGCTATGGATGTTGTAGGGCTGTCATGGTTGACACGTCTCTACAACATTGCGTGGTCATCGGGGGCAGTTCCTAGGGAGTGGCAGACCGGGGTGG